ATATAGTTTGTATAAGATGATTGATGTGATGTCCAGGATTTCATTATCTAAGATGTTAAGTTAATTCTTAATAAAAGCGCTCACATCTAATACCAGTTGCGGTTTAAAAAAAAAAAAAAAAAAAAAATATATAAGATATTTATTATTTTATTACTATATTTTATAAATATTAAATCTATATTTTCTTTTTAATAAAATTTAATATTTTACTTGAAGAAACTAGTTCACTTCTTTTAATTATCTTTGAATTCTATTTTAAAGATTTTTTTTTATTTAATAGTATAAAAATTTCAACTGTTATATACTATCAATTATACTTAATGAAAACAATCTCATACAAACTTAATCTGTCACAAGATATTACAATAAATCATAAAAGAAAGAAAAATGAAAGGGAGAAAGGGAAAAAGGAAGTAAAGAAAACCTCCAAAAAAGGAAATTTTCTTGGAGTAGGAAAAGTGGAAAAAGGTAAAAAAATGTATAGAAAGTAATACCGCATTCTAATTGGACCATCAATTAATGTCAAAATATTTTGTATCGAGTTATTGCTTAAACCCGGAGAAATTATGACACAAGACGCGGAAGATATAATTGCAGCAACCAAACGTGCTCTATCAACCCTTCACGAGAAAACATCAGAGTTTTTAAAAAATTCGAGGATCAAACGTGATGAATCCTCGGAGCCGAAGTGTGTAAACTGCTTTTTGAATGCTAAACTTATGAATATCCGATTTTAATACTGTTTTCACAAACACGCATTCTTCTAGGACACAACCCCTTATACTAGCCCCAAGACAGTCGGGCAATGAATCCGAAAAACTATACCGACCACATAGCAGAGATGATTTCATGGAACGACTTTCTACTTTCTCAATATCCTTAATTTGTGACTTGTCTCCGTTGTTCTCGTCGATTCAGGCACATATTGACCTTAACACTATGCATACAACTTAACATGGTCCGAAAAACCCGATGGCTTAAGTCCTGTAGAATGTGCTAGATATGGTTGGAAGAACGTTGATTATGATTGGATTAGATGCGAATATTGTTCAGAACAAATGCTAGTGAAGTTGGCAAATGTTGAGTTAGGTAAATAAATGGAGTCGACATTGTAATTAGCAACCACCGTTTGTTTGCTAATACGTTTTGCTTCCTTAAAGAGGATCATTTAGCAAAACAATACCAAGAAGGCTTGAGCGCAGCACATTCTGTTTCATGTCCATGGCGCGCTCATCCATGTGATGGTATGTATCTAATTTTTTATTCATCAAACGTAGCTTCTAATTATTTTATCATTTCTAGCTGCAATATACAAGTTTTACATACTACCGAATCAAGAAATTTTGGAGGAATTTCAATCACGGGCGATGACCCTACTCGAACTTGGCGAAAAACTACCGATAATTAATATCAAAGCGGTAAATGTGGATTTTCATTAAGTCTTCCAGAAACCTCCGTTAATTGACAAATTGTTGATCAGACAGATGAGTTTATGCAAACCATGAAAAAAGCGCTCGCCTTAGAATCAAATGAATTAGATTCCCTAGTTATTGTTTCTGCTACTTGTCTGTCCTTATTTGGATGGGAATACGGTTTGATCGAAGGTTCTGAAAAATTGAAATGTAAAACGTGTTTTCGTCATTGTGAGTTGTCATATTTCCGAAACATTGAAAAACACCGCGAGAAAACTCAGCAGCAATCGAGCGTGGAAACAAGTGAACGGCCCACACAGAAGGATAAGGATGATCAGGTCAACGAAGACATCAGTGATGATCCTGGAGAAGTTCGGGAACGACAGTTAGATGTAAACATAACACGCGGTAATGCAGAAATCGGCGAGAAAACAACGCATGAGAATGAGACCAGTGAAAATGCTAATGATAATAAAGATCTTCCAGAGAAATCAAGTGTTGATGGAGAAAATATCAGATCAACCGATAATGAAGAGATGGATGAGGAGATCACACCGGAAACCAAAGATGATCAGACTAATGAGAATATTGATGAGAATTCAAATGATCACGAGAAAATTTCGGAACCACGGAATCGTATAGATAATGATGTTGAAATGGGTGAGCAGATGTCACAGGAAACCGAGAATGATCAGGCCAAGGAGAATCTCGGCAATGAAACAGATCACGAGAAAATAGAAGGTTCACAGAAGGTAGACTCAGTTGGTGAGGATCAGAGGGTGGGCGAGCTAAATATAGAGCAGGAGATGAAGGATGATGGACCCAATGAAAATTTTGATTGCGACGATGATTTATCAGAGATAGGAGATTTGATATTTGATGTTGAGTCTCAACATCGTTGGTATTGCTCATGGATCACGGGGGACGGTAGATCGATTGAGAACAAAACGGCCGAAGAATTTGCCAAGAAAAAACCGGGTTGGTATGTTACTTTGGAAGGCATAGTGAGGCACCATATTTCTACCAATTCAAAGGATTCAAGGCTTATTCGAGAGGTTTGTGTCGGCGTTCCTGATTGCTAATTTTAATTTCCTATTATGTTTCACCGTTGACTTATATATATATATATGTAATATTTGTTTCTAGTCCAAAAATCAAGTGAACGATTTCTGCGATATTTTGTCACCACGACGTTCTCGATTTAACTTTACGTCATAATCCAAAAAAAGAAAGATCATCACACATTGTCCTTATGTATGAGCTGCGCAAACCGATTGGTTCCCGAAACCAATTTGCAACCTTAAAAGGTTTAGGTTAGGGGATTTCCATGTCTATTTTTTTGAGTTTTCGTGAACATTCTCAAGTCGACGTAGTGTAGAGCATTTATTCTGCAGCGGAGTTCATAATAAAATTTAAACATAGATAAAAACCTTATATCAGTTAATAATATATAAGTCGATATAGTTTAAATAAGTGACAAAAGCCAGCTTTTCTCTGGCATAATTTTAAAAATGTCCTCAAATACGACTTCGAATGCTACACGATCGTCCATAGTAAACCCTCGTAACCCTGTTGGTTCTTGGAGAAACACTCTTTCCAGAACTTCAAGCCTCGGTAATTCGGTTTCATATTTTTCTACCCTTGGTAACTCGTTGGATACCGAGAAACAGAAGGAATCCGAGGATAACATAAGAACAGCAAAACCATATCCGTTAGCAAACAAGTGGACTTTTTATCATGATAAGTGAGTTCAGGTGTCAATTTTAATCGTATGAACCGAGTGATGCGAAGGAAAAAAAAAAAAAAAAAAAAAAAAAAAAAGTATAGAACTGTTAGTAGCTTTTAAAACAAAAGAATATTTTGAATCTCTCTCTTTTAAAGTTATTGACCAATAATTCCTTATTCAAATACCATTATGGAATGAAGATATGTCCCAAACGCCTCTCCTGGTAAAAAAAAAAAAAAAAAAAAAAAGAAATTTACGATCAATTCATCTCGTTTCGAATATATAAATCAATTGAATTTCTTTTTCTTTATACAGAGGAATATGAAGAAAATCTTAAAAGTGTTGCAACCGTAAATACCGTACAGGTTTGTGATTCTTCGAAAGATGTCAAGTAGATGAAAGGCGCACCGCTTTAACTTTATTTATTCCAACTAGAATTTCTGGGAGGTTTACAACAACATCATAGGTCCTGAACAGTTGCAATTAAGAAGTTCTCTTCATTTCATGAAAAACGGTATCCGTCCTGTATGGTATGTCGTTGATATTTTTTCTCGATGGCAGTTTATGTGGCGTGATTTAATTCAATCCATTCCAGGGAAGATCCACGCAATGAGAACGGCGGCGCGTGGTCGTTCAAAGTCAATAAGACACACACCGCCACCGTATGGAGAGAGTTACTAATGCTTCTAATCGGAGAGCAGTTTGAGGAATGGGTTGCCGCAGGTGATTGCGTTCTTAAATAACTTTTATTGCGGAGAGGTGTTATTTGACATAAATATTGATTTCGATAAATAAATTTTTATAGACGATGATATCTTCGGTCTCTCCGTATCTTCCCGGTTTAATACCGATATTTTTACTATTTGGAACAAGAACTCTAAAGCAAATGAGAAAGCAAGAGTCTTAGAGAAATTGAAGGAAACACTAGACCCTATCGAATTGCAGAGTCCTTATTATAAAGGTGCGATATCATAAATTTTATTAAATTCTTTCGTCTTTCCGCTAACATCTCGTTTACATTCTCTTGTCGACAGCCCATAAAGAGCATGCGGCATTCAAAAAAACTGATATTCCATCATCAAATATCAATGGCAGAGAGTAATGTTATTAAACGAGGTTAAGATTATATCAACTGTGTTTGAGAAAGGCTTTAAGATTCTTTTTTTCTTTTTTTTTTTTTTTTGCTAGCAGTTGTACATATTTATTATTCGAACAATAGCTTATTGAAATTTTCAATATACAGGCGGTCGCCAAGAACAAATACCGTGGCGTGGTTGCTTTCCAGCATTTATTCAATATATGCTGATGTTCAACTTTTAGTAAAATGTATCAACTATTCAATGATCTTATTTGAATTTCAATTGCTGTTTCTTAATACAAGATGATTCACGCAAGAATCAAAAGTTATCGCAAAACTATTGTCCTTGCTGTTCCAATTAAACATGAAGTAGGATTACACCTAGTTGAGAAGCTTAGTAAGATGTATCTAATTCTCTCGACATATATAAGTTACCGAATTCGAATTATATATTGAATCGTTGTTTATTTATTTGGTTGCATCTTTTAAGTAAGCAATAACATCATTACGCTCCTTTTCCTTCTTGAACCCGGCGAATGCCATCTTGGTTCCGGGGATGTATCTGGATAAAATTGATTAACAAATGAGGATACAATTTAAACAATGATTAAATTGAATTTCTCCATTGAATAAATTAATGCTATACTTTTTGGGGTTTTCGAGATAATCGAATAATGTATTTTCGTTCCAGATTACACCTTTGTTCTGGTTGGCGGCAGTGTATGAAAAACCGGGAACCTGACCGGATTGCCTGCCGAAAAGGCCATGTAGATTTGGTCCCACTTTATTTTGACCTCCTGCTTCGACTGTATGACATTGAGCGCATCGGGTCTTGAAGCTATGAAACAAGATATTTATACATCTTTCATGACGAACTATGAATGAATCAATTACTTACAGCTTAGCCCCGTTAACGGCATCGGCCTGTGCTATACCAATGATGAAAATATCGGAATTAATAAAATTTATACTGTACGTGAAAAAAAATTTTTCCTAAAATGTATCTGTTCCCGAGAACAAATCATAAATGAGCTTACACGCATTGAAAGGCATATTCGCGGGAATTTATTAATGATAATGGAGATAAAGGGACAAATTTAAATATCGACTTCTTTTGACGAACGAACAACCAGGGGAAGATGGTTTTCCGCAAAAAAAAAATTTCGAGTTTCGCATATATGTCTATTCAATCATTGCCTTTTTTAGAATTTGTTAGATGAAAAATTGATGACACATCTCCTCGTCCGGGAATTCCCGAACTCGTGTCAACCAGACGATAGATGATTGATGAAATTGCCCTTTCGCAAGTATATGTAGATAATGACCTCGCAAAATTCTAAACGTTCGGCGGCCTACAAAGCTGTGGACGTCCACTTAAACTCTTCAACAAAGATTATTGGTATCGGGTCCGGCTCGACCGTCGTTTTTGTCATTGAGCGCATACTACAACGCGGTGGCTTAAAAAAGATCGAAGGCGAAAAATTATCTCTTCTAGACGTGAATAATTGCGTTTTTATACCAACAAGCTTTCAAAGTAGGCAGCTAATTGTCGAAAATGGGTTAAATCTAGGAGATGTTGACCAGTTGAGTTAGAAATTCGTATGATTAATTAGTAAACCTAATGAACGCATTATTTCTGAACTTACTTGTAATCATTATATTAGGTACCCCACCATCGATATCACAATTGACGGCGCAGATGAGGCAAGTGTATTAATTCGTGCATGCCTTGCAGTCGGTCTTTTTAAAAAGATATCTAAATCGACACAATTGCACATCCAATAAGGTTGACGAAAGTTTGAATGCAATTAAGGGAGGCGGTGCGTGCCATTTACGTGAAAAGGTTGTCGCAGAAATTTCAAAGAAATTTATCATCGTAGCTGACTATACAAAAAAATCTAAAGTTTTAGGAGAACAGGTAAAATTTGATATCAAGGATATTTGAAGATAACGCAGTCATGTTTGGTAAAAAAAAAAAAAGAAAAAAAGAAAAGATATGGAATTTAATAACATGTTACCGGTGTTATCTCTAATTACTTGGTGAAAAAATTTTTAATCTTATCAAAACATCTTTAAAATTTTGTATGTCCAGTGGACCAAAGGCATTCCAATTGAGGTTGTCCCGTTCTGTTACACACAGGTCCTATCCTCCCTAAAGAAATTGGGTTGTCCAAACCCGAGCCTCCGAATGGCAAAAGCCAAAGCTGGTCCAATTCTCACTGATAACGGCAACTTTGTGATTGATGCCAATTTTGGTCCTTTGGATGGATCAAAGTTATTCGATAATGGTAGTAAAAATACGCCCAAAGATATTTTGAATCAAATTAAATTATTAACCGGAGTAGTGGAAGTAGGTTTATTTGTTGGCATGGCTGAGGCGGCATATTTTGGGTGCGAAGATGGAATCAACGTCGAACTCTTGATGAAGTGAATAACACCCCGCCTGTGTATATTTGTTCCCCTCCTCTGTAAATAGAGTCTGTATTAATTTGTAAATAAGTTTAAAGTCCTTTCAAAAATAACGCATCTTTTTTGCAATAGCATTCAATTAAAAAGTATTTCTATAAAATTAATGTCCGATTGATACTTTAATAAATTGTCTTACATATAGTATACAGTATACACGTTATATAGCATATACAGAAATTAATTGCAAAATGTCATCTGTACTCAATTGATATACAAAAACCTTTACACTTTACTCAAACTGCACAAAAATAGAATGGCATCATACTACAATATACTGTTTTCTTAAAAATATAAATAAATAAGAAATTTTTCGTGGCCTGAATCATTAGTTCTTAATAACTAGAGAAGAAATATATTTATATACAATATTCTTTGTAATATCAATTTTACTTATAACTGGACTGCATTTATATATTTTTATCTCAAAAAAAAAATATATATATATAAACTCA